ATACATATAGCTATATATAGATAGATAAAGATATATATTCCTATATATCTATATATATATATCTCCCTATATATAGATATATATATATATTCCTATATATCTGTATATTCCTGTAAGTCAGTAGTTTAAATAATTTTTGACTTGCTTTAGTAACATTTAGAGAACAAAAAGAATTGAGTTATTGAAAAAGTGAATAATTTATAGAACTATCCTGTGGAGTAATGGAAAAGGGAAAGAACACATTCAAACTATATAAAACATTAAAAAGGGAATGCAGTTTTCTTACAAACTACAAAAATACTATTTTCTACAAATGAAACTTGTTACAAAAGAATAATCAGTAATTTTAAAAAGTTAGCCGTGCTGACAAAATCAGCTAGGCTGATGTTACTCAGCCTTAAACAACATTTTAATAGTCTTGGACAACTTAACAAGGCATTTGGTGAGAAAGAGGAAGTGCTGAAGCAGACCCTGAGCATTAAGTACTTACTGTTAGCTGTTCTGTGGCTGTCCTCCCTTCAACTCTGAAAAGTAATCTCTAGTTCGAAGAGTGCACAGTTAACTGCTGGAAAGTATGGTGACTCTTCCCTACTGTTATCTATGTCTTCTGGAAATCCACTTTAGGTAAATAAGCAAAGTGAGAATCTGGACTCTGCAGAAATCTAATCAGATTGGCAGCTGTCAGTCTGTTTTCTTGCATAGGAAGCTGATACTCAGGACTTAACTGCCAGAATGAAAATTTGTGAGAAGTCTGTGATGTTCATATGTGTAGCATTGTGCTGTAGGCTTCAATTTAAAACACCCTGTTAAGAAAGTTGGCATAAGCTTTGTTTGGTTTGAAGAGATTGTAAACATTTACTTTGTCTTCATTGTGTGTTAGTGAGACTAGATTGATGAATTTCTTGTGAATTTCTCCTTAGGCAGTGCTATGCAGTTTTTGGCTCTCTTTCTTACTTTTTTACAGTCCTTCCTCCTCCCTACTGATTTCAGCATCAGTGTTACATTTAATTAGCAGGCAGTCTTTCTTGTTAGAAATAGTTATTTTAAAATCAGAACCTGGATTACTGTGTACATTGTGATGCACTGTTACATAGTAGCTAGCCATATTTCCTCCTCTTCATTTAGAGTTTTCTTAGGACTCAGGAGCACTGTGACATTATGATTGTTTGTTCCACAGGCTGCTTTGTACCGCCTTAGTGGAGACTGGAATCCCTTACACATCGACACTACCTTTGCTAGCATGGCAGGTGAGTTCTCATGGAAAATCTAAACCACGTACTGAAAGACAGTGCTGCTGTGACTGGTAATCTGAGTAACATTCAAAGAATAGCTGTCTTACTCTATTTCTGCAAAGGATATGGAAAGGTCAGAAGTAGTGGGATCCAGGTTATGGTGGAGCAGAGCTCGTGCTCATGCAGGGTCTACAGTGAAGGATGAGGTCGCTGCATGACAGCAAAGGACCAAAAAGTTCTTGAGGCCCCTCTCCCACAGGGACACAGAAGCGAATCTCCGTGGTGACTTTGTGGGCACAAAGATAAATGAAACAATTCTCAGAGTTCTGACCTCTCACGTTCATTTCTTGTTTCTCTTCCCCTCTTCCCTTCATTTTCTCCCAGGAAGTACTACTTTCAAAGTATTTTCCACATGCCTTAAAACAGATAGTATCATTCCTACTCATGCAGCTCAAAGACATCTTTAAAACTCTGAATCCAGTATGTAGTTTGTTTTTTAAAATGGAAGGTGCCAATGTCCACCTGAACTTTCTTTTTTAGGTTTCAAGAAACCCATATTGCATGGATTGTGTACCTTTGGATTTTCTGCAAGGCATATCTTACGGCGGTTTGCAGAAAACGATGTGTCGAGGTTCAAGGCAATTAAGGTGCACAAATTACATAACTGAACGTTCTCTTCATCAGGGAAGGCGTGTTGGTGGCTTAATTTAAAGGAGGTTCCACACTGCAGAAATTGACATTTTATTATTCCATGGAATTGGCTTTCAGTGCATTTCCTTTATGTGGCTATAAATACCCGTATCCTTGCATACAAGGAATCCTGTACGTACAGTTTTAACAGATTGGTTGGATTTTTTTAAATGAATTAATTAGATATATGCTCATGTTAGCATATATACTTTAAAAACTTAAGATTTACTTTTTGTTTTGTTATTTGCCTTAATTTAACTGAAAATATTAAATGGCTGGATTTGAATTCTAATAAACATATACTTATTGCATTATGATAACTGCATATTGTTTATAATTTTGTATCTTTAAGTTGATTTCAAGATTTTAACCAGGTTTTAAAGTTATTTTATAACTATCAAAAATATTGTGCCTACAATATTTTTGCATAAGTCAAAACATGTACTCTTAGCTGAGCATGGTAGTGCATTTCTGTAATCCCAGCACTTAAGAGGCTGAGGTAGAATAATCACAAATTTGGGCCAGCTTGGTACACACAAGACTCTGTTTCAAAAAAGCGGATGGGGGTATGAGGTGGGAAATATTACACTGAAAAGTGTTTGACTCAGTGTCAGACAGCTAAAAACTTACAGTGAAGACATGATTCCTGATGCTCTGACTGCACCTGTTATTCTCGTGCTTTTGTTTTATTATCCAATATGTGTGTAAGAGTCAATATAGTAGTATGGAAGATTACAAAATAACTAAATTAGGAACTAATCAAGAATTAAAAATTGAGTCCTACATGTCCACCCCAGGCCTCGTTCCCCTTGTTTTGGAGGTCACAGATGTAGCTCCACCTTATGGCTTGATTTGTCAGGAAATGATTCTGCATTGTGAGAGGCAGTTAGCTTCTCCTCTTTTTTATAAGTTTGTACATGTTTTATGAACCTAAATATATTTTCTTCCTTTTATGCTCTGACCTCCCAGGAGAAGAGTTTCATTTTGAAGCACTTTTAACCCCCATACTCTTGTTTTTAAAGGTTCGTTTTGCAAAGCCAGTGTATCCTGGACAAACTCTGCAAACTGAGATGTGGGAGGAAGGAAACAGAATCCACTTTCAAACCAAGGTATGAAGGAGAGAGCTTCAGTACTTTCTGTCACGTCCTCACCACACTCCATAATTTGCTATTTCAGTATAAACATGAGACAAAAACCCAGAAGGTTTTAATCAGCACTTTAAGAAACACCATTTTAATTAGTATATGATACTTACACAGGGGCTTTCATTGTACATTTCCATATATACATGCATTATGCCCTGGTTTGGTTCATCCCCTCCATTCTCCCTTCAACCCCCTCCCTCTTCTTAAATTCAGTGTCCATACAAAGTACATCTGCCATATTCAACTTCCTTTACCCTCCCCTCCAGCCAGTGCCCTTATCTTAACATGACCTGCCCTTTATTGTTCAGTAGAGATTTTGCCTTAGTCTTTTACCTATAAATATATTGTGCCTAAGTCAGTCCAACCCCCAACACTACTCTTCCTCACCAGTTTCAATGCTAACTTTAAATTGAAAATAAGATCCCTTGTATGCCTTGTTTTTTAATTTTTCTCTTTGAAAATGGCAGGTGGCTGATAGATCCCAGAACTCTGAGCTCTCATGAGTCTGAAAGAAAACTTGAGATTGGTGGTAGCAGGGGTCGGGTAATTTTTTCTTTATCTCTTTAGTGAAAGCCCTTGCAACATGGTAAAATTGTTACAAAAGAGGGTTGGAATAGCACTTACACAGTGTAATAGGAGAGGCATTCCAAAGCAGTTTTGCTGAATTAGAGATAAAGACCAGTTAATGTAGACAGTAGCAATAAAATAACATCCTTTACAACTATCTCTCTTCTTTTTTTTTTTCTGTACGGAAATCATGTGCATCTTTAACACACAAAAATCACAAATTAACATCTTCCATCATAGAGTTTGAGTCTAGTTAGTAGCAATTGACAAGCCAAATAAAGGTGTGTCTCCTGGTAGAGTTCAGGGACTTGGGATAAGACTGTTAGGACACCCCATACAATACTAAAGGCATGCAACCACTGTTTTATTAGTGAACTTAGAAATAATTTTTGTTAACACAGCTAATACTTTTTGGTCTGGTCAATTTGTACTACATAGAGCAGGTTTAAGAACTCCAACAGAAATAGTAAGAGCTTTCATTTATTGAGATGCTGTGTGCAGGCTATCCTGTTATCTCTAATATTTATAACAACTCTACATTGAAATAAAGAAAATACAGGTTCCTAAGGAAATTCTGCTGTCCTAAATAACTTGCTTATGGCCACACAGCAAGTGATTAAGCTGGGATAATCCAGCTCACCTTAGATCCCAGGGCCTTTTTACCATATCATGTCTCCCCGCCCTCCACACACACATACAAATTGATAACTTTGCACAATTCTGCTCCTGTGTTTGCTTTAGTACTAACTCCTTCCTGCTGCTTGCAGTTTTGCTTTATCTACACATACTGTTTATTTCACTTTGTGTAAGCTCTACCTTACTCTGAGAGGCTCTTTCTCTCTTTGGAGACAAGATGTCTCTATAAGCCAGGCTAGGCCTTGAACTTGTCCTCCTGCTTCAGCTTCCTGAGTTCTGGGAATACAGGCATGTGTCACCATGCCTGCCTAAAGC